CAAACACAGCTTTCGCATTAGTCCAAATGTGGCCTGAATTAGGGTTTCGGCACATGTTTCTGGAGAACCCTAAAGCGAGGTTATAAATTTAAAACTTGAAGGAAATAAATACGCGTATAATTAACTTATTTTTATGGCCTGGTTTATGTAAAATCTAGGCCAAAACAACATTTCCTTATATCTTAGCTAGTTTCTCGATTAAACGATGATTCATATTAAAATATATTTATATGAAGTGAAATACCGAAAAATTCCCACCTTATCTAATCAGTTGGTTCGTAATAACTCCGATATTTTGAAGAAAACGTGTTTGTCGACAGTTTAGTATCAACTTTAAAATTATACGTACGGCCATAGTAATATCTTGTGATTCCCTTTAATTTTATAAAATTTCTTTTTTCTAAATATTCTGTGGTCGCCGAAACGTTATGTAAGTACTTACTACTCTTAATAATTTCGCTTTAATTAACTCGTGTAGTCAGCAAAGTGTGCTATTTACTGTGCCGTCGATGCAACATTCAAATCTTCGACGTAAATATTCATGAATCTCTTTGAAAGTTCCGTTATATTGCTTCAATCGTCTAAAATCCATCCGGGACATGATACCACAGAATGTTGTTTCACTAAAAATTTTGAAACGTTATCACAGCTAACCTTTAACGTGCCCTTTCGGTTTAGAAAGAGGAAAGTTGAAAAAATTTTCAAGTGTAAACGATTAATTGATAATAAAACTGAAAATAAATTAAAACGGGGGATAAATACAAAAGAAAATAAATAATAATCGAATATAAAAAAAATAATTGTTTATTGTTTTATATTAAACAATGGGATATTACTACATTGCTTTACGTGTTTACTTGCTCAATGACAATGAATTTGAAATGTAGTACAATGGCGAAAAAAAAACTCGTTCTAAAAACCGACCGATATTCCCAATTAACGCCGGAATATGTAACGATGGCTTATTACTCTTATTACAGTTCGTGAAAGTAAGATTTCGCTCAATGGTAATCGCACAGAAAACCTCGTTTTGTAACCGCGTTGCACGAAAGGTGCAATTTCATCAATCCGATGCTTAATCTACGTCTCTATCCGCGTTAATCGCAGAAAATCTCTTGAGCAGAACGACTCGGTCTTATGCAATAACTTTTTTGTCAAGAAAACTAGGCATTCTTGAACTTGCCACGTGCTCTGATGAAAAATATTTCATTCAACAACTTGAAACGATTAAGTAGAACTGTATTTTATTACTATATCATATCAATTCAAAGAAATATGTTTTATTAAATATAAAGACACGTTTTATACTAATTAATAATAACATTGTTCTTATAAATTTGTTTTTTTTTTAATGATAATTGAATATGGTGTTGTTCCTATTATAAGTACAAACATAAATTCACAAAATATCCTCAATATACCTTCTACTTCGTGGTAGTGCAATTTAAAGTAATAAAACTTAATAACTTCATTTAAGACTCACTCTTTTTTCTTTACTTTATACAACTTCAAGGTTTTCTATTATTACTTAACTTTCTTTACCTTGCTTGGTCTTAAGAAGCATCTTATAAGTTGTGTTGTCGCCCGCACGAGAAACTTAGGTGTAATAAACGTTTTAGTTTCGGGTATTCAACCTAATGTCATTCCAAGAACGTCCGTAAAGCCACTAAAAGCCCCGCTATTAGTCATACCTATTTTGCACATACAATGGAAATACTCGTTAAAGAGAGAACTTGCTGAAGATTAGAAGAAATTAAGTTATGCGTCAGAAGCGTTTCGAGAAATTAGCTTAGGGTTATAAAGAAAGCGCAAACAAGAAGTGTGTAATTCTTTGGTTTGGATGAAAGCTCGCAAGGTGTTTGATTAGTCCTCGATTGATCGCAGCGGCCACATCTACGTCTCTAAGTTATGTTTTCATTCTTTTTTTTTTTTCTTAACGGGTCCAATCTCTCTTCCATTATTGCTTCTTTACGGTCTATCGCAACAGCTGCGGAACGACAGATGAACAACGTCGTCACATGTCACTTGATTGGTTTCCGTATCTGTTTGTCTAAAAGAGATCAAGTGTTCGTATTATCCAGAGATTACAAACAATATTTTCACGTTATTGAATTTCTAAGATAAGATTTTTTTTTAATTCCTATAATCTTAATCGTTATCGTTTATTAATAATTCTGGAATTGTTTGTTGTTGTAGAAAGCAGGAAATAGTACATAAATGTTTAAAGGTTTTCATATCGAAGAAGGAAGTTATGATATTTCACAATATTTATACCTACGTTAAATACGTCTGGGTATGTTATTTATAATCAAGAAATCTTAAAATACAAGTTGGCGCGCTTTGAAACACCTCATGAGGAATGCAAGCAATTTTGTTATCTTTGAAAAGAATTCGTGATTTATAGTTGCTATTTGGAAATGAATATGTTCTAATAGGCGTAGCCCTTTCCTAATCGTTTAAATTGAATATTTATTACCATCGCAAAGTCATTCTTCAAACCAGTATAAAGTGTTAAAATCCTTCTGGCCGCACGGTCCAATTTCACTTTCAAATCGAGACCCTAACACGGCGTGAAGTTGAAGAACCTCTTCCGTTCGGTCTTCTCCGAACCTGAGTTGGAGATTTTTTTCCATCACGGTAATAACCGGTATCTCTTGCATATTGCATGCTGTTACGTAACAGGTGTTCACTGGATTCATCCTCATACGCGTTTTCTCTTTGGATACGACGACGCGACGTCAAGCATATGCTAGACAGCAGAATTTTCCTGTTGTAGTCGTCGTCGTCGTTGTTGTTTCCACGTCCATGGATGACGACAATGGATGAATATTACGAGGAGAGCAACTGGCAAACGATTCATCCGTTTTTTTATCCTTTTTTGTAGAGTAAAAACTAGGTGTACTAGGTGAAGTAGCTTGTTGAAAAACGGGAAATATCGATTGAAAACGGTTGAATGGTGCATAGATTCATAAAAGTACAATGGCTACAGCTTTTTACTGGATTAACATATAGAGAAAAACGTTATTTCGAAATGGTTTTTCCTTTTTTATTAAGGATTTAATCTTTTTTATTTAATAGTTTTAATATTTTTATTTGATTAAAATTATGAATAATATTCAAGGCATTAACGGAAAGGAATGCGCGTGAATTAATATCCTTCTATAATAGTTAATTCTATTCCATACTCTTTGTTTTCAATATCTTCATCCAAATAAAATAAATTCCGGTTTATTGAAAGTAATCTGAATCCAATGTATTTCCGACGTTTTGATATGATTAGACCGATTATGGCTTATCTTAGTGCACACTTGGTCGATCTCAGTGTTACCAAGAACCGATAAATTTAAGAGACATCAACATATAATGTTTTAAGATGTAAAATTCGTTTAGCATATAATAGTTTCTCTTATCTATATATTTAATTGATATAATATGTTGTGTTTAGGAAATAAAACCTTGAAATTTTTATAAAACTATAGATATAGTGAATATTTTAAATTCTCTTTTCAGAACAATTAGCATTATAAATACGGAAATAATCATATAGCAATCAATAAAGTATGACATCTTCATGTTAGTTGTGGTTATAGATTGTAAAGGAAGGTGAAGCGCTAGGAGGTACTATTACAAATAAGGAAGTTAGTAGTTTGCAATGTGGCCCAGTTCTCTCGCGGTATGTGTAAATAAATTGGCTCGCGTTTAATGTCAATAACAGCAATGAGACTCACAGAGAGGCCGTTTATCTCCTCCCGTTTTGCCAGTCCTGCTGGCCGTCGGCGACGACGCCTAATTAACCCGCGATGAAAATGTCGTATAGGCTTTCTAATTAACGGGTTGACGGTACCACGACCAGTTACAATCGTATCGCTATACTTACGACTCGGACTAATTGCTCCCGCAGTCGTAACAACGCAGACAAATTAATGTTGATGTGTTTGAATTGTTCGCAACGAAAAAATACACAATGAAATGCCACCTGAAAGAAAAAAAGGGGAAAATGTGAGACGTAATGAAAAATCGAAACGAAGTGTACCTACTTTTCGTTTCTAGTCATTGTGATTCGTGATCGGTGGAAGTCTATTTAAGATAGCAATCGCATTTTCTTGACGTTGTTAGAGAGGTTTCTCACAATCTCCGGTGATAATTCAATTCAATTTTAACGACTCTTCAATTCAAACAGCCAACAGCTAAAGAAAACTTGATGTTGAGGACGCAATTTTGAATCAATTTAGACTTTCTAGAAGGACGTTAACGGTTTGATTTTACCTATTTGTACTTATTTATACGTTTCCGTTGAAACTAAAAATAAAATAAACACAATTCTATTGTGATCCTTTCGCAAAATAAGTAAAAAATACAAAAAGGAATTACGACGGAGTTATATATAACGCTCGTCGCGAAAATTTGATTTAGCCGTATTGGATGTTTGCCAGTTTCACCATCGTCCTGCCTGCCTCTTCTCCACAAATTTATTCTCTGTAACTCGAAGCCCCTTCGGGTAAAACCGCGGATTCTTGTTTTAATGAGCAAATTTCAATTAATACCAACATGAATCTCCTGGGTGTTATATTCTGCGAGAGAAGTAATTCCAACTAAACATGATAAAGTTATGATAATTGTAATTAATTGTAAAATTATAACGTACCAATATATTTTTGAATAATTTAACACTTAAAATTTCAAAATTTATATTACTAATTATTATATTAATTTTTAACAAAAAAAATTTAATTGATTATTAAATTTTAGAGCAATACCATAAGCTATTCTCTTAGAGTTTACCGTTAAATGCTATTTAGAAACGCATACACTGTTCGTTCGCATGACAAAACCCCATAAAATAAAACTCGGTAGCTTAATCGTATTCGTTTTTCAACCTCTACCTTCTAACCCTATTTAGTTTTTCCTGGCAATAAAAACTTTTTTTTCATGCTAAATCAAAACGTATGCGTGCGTAGTTCTAAAAACGTACTTACAATTTATTTTTCTTTAATTTTCAGATGTTATCGATTGTATAATTATCAAAAAATAACTTCCCAGATGGAAATACGGATAAGAACAACGTCGTCACCTCCAGGACTATTTTGAAACAATGCACGCAATATCGGGTCACCAAGTTGGTTTACTGTGCAAGAAGAGAACTCGGAGGATTTGGAATACGTAGATTTTAGACTAAGCTCCAGATGGGGGCTAATATGGGAAAAAATGCTTCTCTTTTAGACGCCCTTCCATCCGGACAGGGAACGTTACATGTGGTAATGCTAGGTTTAGACTCGGCAGGAAAAACCACTGCCCTATACCGTTTAAAATTCGACCAATATTTAAACACAGTGCCTACAATTGGCTTTAACTGCGAAAAGGTCAAAGGTACTTTAGGTAAAGCAAAGGGGATTAATTTTTTGGTATGGGATGTGGGCGGTCAAGAGAAATTAAGACCACTTTGGAAATCGTATACAAGATGTACCGATGGGATAGTGTTCGTTTTGGATAGTGTCGACGTTGAAAGGATGGAAGAAGCGAAAATGGAGCTTTTAAGGACAGTTAAATCACCGGAAAATACCGGAGTTCCGATTTTAGTTTTGGCTAACAAACAGGACCTCCCTGGTGCAAGGGAACCGAGGGAATTGGAAAAACTTCTCGGTTTATTAGAGTTGGGTGGAAATGCTGGTTCGTCGACAAGTGGACATTTGTGGCACGTTCAACCAGCCTGTGCGATAACCGGCGACGGTTTGCACGAAGGACTCGAAGTTCTCTACGAGATGATATTGAAACGGAGAAAATTGGCGAAAATGTGCAAGAAAAAGACGCGATAATTATTTTCTGCTAGCGCGCGAGTGTTCGAACGTGTGTTTTTTCTTAGTCAATTCCTACTGATTTGGAGGGAATCATTTTCGGGGTTGGATATTAATCCTGAAATCCTGCCTCTAGTCTGTGCCGCATTATAAATCACTTGCCTTGTGTGATTTTTGTCCGCCGTTGCGTGTGGGTGAGAATGAAAGACTTGCACAATAACATCGAGAGGCTATATAGCCGTAAGAAAAGTATTTTAATCACGTCCCCTTTCTACTACTGTTGATGATTGATGTATTTTGCCATAAGAAAATGATATCTTTTTAGAATAACAAACAAAAATGATAAGTAAAAGAAATTTATTAATTCCAATATTTGATCTTAGTGTTTGTTGTCTGTTTCTGGTGATCATTAAAATTAGCCAACTTTACAAAAAACCAAATTTAATTTAACGTGTATTTACGAATTTATTTGATTTGATAGGGTGCGTAAAATATACCGCTTCTATTTATGACTGATATGGTATATTTAACTCAGTTTCGCAAAATCTTACAACGTTGCCAATGTATTTACCAAACAAACATGGGATTTATAAGTAACACAATTTCTAAAAAATATATCATGGTTAAACCACAATTTATTGAAAAACTGCACAATTGACATCACTTGATATGACAAAATGTTAACGTTAAAATAATTGAAATATGACGAAATGTTTACGCTTTCATTTTGAATTATCTACTTCTGTTTTCAAGTCATGAAAGCAAAAAATTATAAACAAACCCAATAAATATTTTTATGCATCCTATCACATACTTTTGGTTAAAACATTTCCTAGCTAAAATTAATAAAAACTTGATAAAAATTAAGATATAAACGAATAAATAAAACTAATATATTGTGATGATTAAAAAGAACAATGTTAATGGAATGTCATATCGTAACAACGTAGGAAAGAAATTGAAACAGATAAAATATAGTATGTTCAACAAAAGCAACTTGAAATTTTGATTAACCGTACGTTATTAAATCTGACGAATAGGAATTTATATTAAATTTATTGAACATATTGTATTGATTTATTTATTGTTATTACTTTACACAGAGCTTAATATAGTAACTACAATATAGTAACAAAAATTCTTCAACCCTAATTATTTTCAATTTACTTTGCGTAAAACCAACCATTTAGAAAAATAAGCAAAGTAATAAGCAAAACGAAAGTAAATTAATAATGAAAAATCCTTATAAAAAAAGCTGTCTAAATGAAACCCGTCTAATAAAAAACATTGGCTAAAGGAAAGTAAAATTCTTTACTACCCCAAGAAGCGCTTTATTAATGTCTGATGTGCAATTCCTAGTTGTTTAGATGCTCTTGTATTTCACGATCGAATTTTTATACTACAAAGAAATTATTTAAATGAAAATTAGGATTGAAATTCACTGAGCCATAAAATTAAGAGCTGGCAAGTTTGGTTTCGTCGACCGTGGAATACAACCGCGTTTTTTACCAATACCAAAGGTGCTCATTTAGTTGTAAGTAGGTTTTAGTTTTGTATACCGTTAGGTCGCGCTAACCGAATCGCTGCAGATATACTGTAATTATTGCTTTTTTTACTTTTTCGCGGTGTTACTAAATAGTAAATTTTGGCGAATAAAATCTTGTAAACTTCTTTCTTTAATAAAAATGTTGTTAAAAAATATAATGAAATAACAAACGAAACTAACAAAAAAGGCTGTGTATTACCAACGGGATTTTTACTGCTACTATTTTTTAAAACCGTAAATTTTGTATATAAAAATATTTAAAAAAAATATTTTTTTTTGTAATTACAGTATAAATGTTAGCTTCCCAGACCAATTTTGAGGTCAATATCGCGAACATTTCTCAGCGTGATGTTGCTTCGTATTTTTGTTATCGTTGCGTAGCGCCAAATCAGCATATCCCTCTCTACATGTAAAACTATTAAATTGTTAATAATTGTTTAATGCCTTGCGCGAAAAAATGGTCACGTATTAAACGAGTATAATAAACAAATTCATTTATTGTATAGGTATTTATATTTTCGCCATGTCTGATATGATTTGTACATATGTATCTAAATGTAATAAAGATTCATTATTATTATTTTATTCCGTCAATAAAATTATGTTTGTTTTCTATTAATCACGCATTATTTATTAAATATTCCAAAACAACCACCAACATCCGGGATGTCAATGGTACATTTCCCTTTCTTCAAATAACGGCTGCTATTTCTATTTATCAGGTACACAGCAATAAACCATCCAATCGGGATCGAATGCGAAGAGCGGCTTTTGTGCTCAGTTATTGAACGGAAACTGCAAATTCTCTGCTTGGAAGGTTCATTGTCTACAACGTAATTTCGTAATTCCATATTCTGAATCTGGTTGGCATGATTACGCCAACGATGCAAATACACCCCTCCCTACCCTTTCGTCAATTAGACGATGTTCTAATTGGACTTACAATTTCCTAATCAGAATGTCATACAATCGAAAATTTTCCATTAGTATAAATTTTAATGATCAAATTTATACCAATTTTCTTTATTCAATTCAATTTTAACGTCTTGAATATTTTTTATTAAAACGATTGTAATTGAATGAATTCTCAATAACGATTTTCTATTCAAATCATATCCATATAAAGTGATGTAGTTGAAAATAGGTCGACCATTACCAGTCAGTTTACAATCCTTCTCGATTCAAAAAATCACTTGTCTATTTCCGACCATTAGAACCAAACGCATTATCCCGAACAACGTACCGGAATTATAGACTCTCCATCCCATCGGCGAGCCCTGTGTTCAAATCGCGTTGAAATTCCACTGCGAATAGAACGCGACCTTAAATCATAGCTTGCAGTGAATAAAATTGTTGGGAGGTATTTTTATTCTTTTCATCTTTTTTTTTTGTTAAAGAGGAAATCATGTAAAGGTGACCTTCGGATGTGCGGTGGCGCATGAAACGTTTTTGTACAAAGGACCTTTTAAATCACAGGAAGTCCGGAATTCTACTACGTACATGTTGTTTCACTATGTACGTAGGGAAACAATAAGGGAAAAATGGTTTAGCAGAGCAGCGAGAAAAACCGCGGTATGCGGAGATAACGGAAGTCGGGTCAAGCTCTAGATATGTGTGTCAGCATTGATTCAGCTCTATCCGTTTGGCGAATAATTAATTTCGAGACGTGCCCCAGAATCAGGAGAGCACCGAAGTAGTCCTTTTGTATCTAGCAAAATGCCGCGAAGCGGTTTTAACTCCGCATACCAGTCAAAGTCAAGTGTGCTTTAAAATATAAAAGCTACTGTACGATAAAAGAAAGTCTTTTGTGTTAAACAAAGAATTTCAATTTAAAACAAAATCTTTATTAATAAATTAGAGTGTATAAAACAAAAATTGCTTTTCGAAGAATTTGAAAAAGTTTAAATAAAAGAAATTTTGTCAATTAATCATCCTCATTATCGAAATTTCTCACCAAATTGTTCACAGCTTCATCTATTTCATAATCTGTTACTTCATCCGTGTATTTACAGTAATCAGTGAATAATTCTAAATATTCACTGTCATCACCAGTATGATGTTTTTTAGTTACCTTAGCTGTTTTGGCTTTATGAAGAGGAGGGGTTCTATAAGGAAAACCTACAAAATAATAAAACAATATGTAGAAATTAATGAAAAAAGCATTGAAACATACGTCTTCTAGTCTTCTCAAACGGCGGCCTCATCACTCTCTGTAACATATTGAACATATTTTCCACTTGCACCACTTTTCTAGAGGCATCAATAGCAATCTTCATAACCCTCGCCTCTTCATGGTAACACTCGGTTTCAGCTTTTCGAACTTTGTCCTCCGGAAGCTGGTCGAGTTGAAGTATGTAGTAACGATACTTCATTTCGATGGCTTTCATCATGTCGCTGACTCCTAAACTGGCGTCGTTCGGAGCAACTCTTGCTTCGTAAACATCTTCAACGAATACGTACAAATTTAAGATTTCTTCGTCAGAAATTAATTTTCTGAATTCGCCGTTAATCAATTCCATTGCGAGTTCTTCAAGGAATTTCGCACGTTGCTCTTCCCACCTATTACCATAAATGAAAAGGGGATGTTTTAATCAAAATTGGCCTTAACGGAAATTGGAATGTCGATTGAGGGTCGATATTCCACAGAGATAGCCCGACGATGGATTTCGAATTTAAAGAGTTTGTAATACGAGATGGGGAGATTTATTGGAATGATATATAATTAGTGGTTAATGAAGAAGTTAATTTTTTGTGTTGCTTTCTTCAAAAAATAATAAATTTCTACTTACAAAATCTCGCCACTTAAACTGTCGATGATATCTTGTACTGCATTTATTTGTTCATTATACTTCTTTTCTGCCAAATGCATACTTTCTCGAATTTTCTCCAATGGAATAGCTAATTCTTCAGAATGTAATAACGAATTTAAATTTTGCAACTCAATAAATCTGAACACTTTCAATAATTCGTATGGTTCTTTAAAATATAAAACCGGATCTGTTTGAGTTCTGCAATCTTCTAAAAACGTTTCAATCATATTTTCCAAAGTGTTGGTTTCCCATCCTGTGTGTTGCCTGTATTTTTCAAAAACGCAACTTTCTGTTTCGACCAAACTTAAATGAGAAGCATTTTGTTTTAAATGATAGTAATCGTGAATTTTCCTCCAATGCATAGGACTAACCATGTACAAGAACTTTTGATACATTTTACAATTACGCCATTTTTCTTCTAAATTGTAAACGGCAGCCTTTAAAGCTCCGTAATCTTTACTCAGTTCACGAAAAGCTTCGTACCTTTCGTAAGACTTGTTCGTTTCTCTTTCGGCTTGCCTTATTAATTCCATTGAAGTTTGATGGTCGTGTGAAAGAAACGCTTCGAAAGTATCCACGTATTTTTGATAATTTCCTTTGATTTCGTCTAAAATTCTTTGTTCTTCCATGAAATTTTCTTCAATCAAAAGAACTTCATCTTCACGATACCCAGCAACAACTCTCGCTCGTAACGATTCGCGTAGGTCGTGTACGTATTCACGAATATTCCATTTTTCCCCAATCGTTCGACCTTCAACGATCGTAAAAAAATCCGGATCTATATCCAAAATTGTTTTCATGCTCTGCGTACCCGGTTCTTTAACATATAACCGATTTAACATATCCAAATTTTGTCTGGATGTATAATTATTCCTTTCGTTACACTTTAATTTCAATTCTTTTATTCTTTGTTTATCGTTCCACGCTCTCGCCATCGTTTTATAAGAATATGTTTCTAAAGGTTCCGGATAAACAAAAGGAGAAGGTTCGTGAAGAATATCTCGTTGGTTATCATCGTTTATTCCGGTTCCTTGTGAAAAGTAATGATCTTTAACTACGTTTTTGTTACCGAAAATTTTTTGAAGAGCCGTTTTTGCTCTAATCTTTGGTTCCGGTTTCGGTTTTATCTTAATCTTCTTTCTTTCAGGTTTTTCAACTAAAGTTACCTTAAGCATCGCTTTTTTCTCCCGAAATTTTTCGGGTATCACTTCAAGATTTTCCATTTTATGTTAGGTTTTTTCCAGTAGACACAATATTAAAAAAGAACTTTTCAATGAGTACGTCAAACGAATTTTCTTGCTGACGTCGTTGTTACTACCACCAAATCGATCGATCAAGTGTTTCTATGGATACATTGCATGACCGGTTGTGGTAGTGGAGGCTTTTTTTGAGTGAAAAACATGAATACGTTAGTAGGAGGGTGATGAATATTCAGTGATTCTTTTTTTCTGGTTTTATTTTTAGATAGCAACCTTCTTTTAAAATAAATTGACTTGTTTTATGAATAGAATCAACGATCGCGTCATTTTCTAATACACCTAGGATTAAGTATCGTACTGACTCTAAAATTATTATAATGAACTTTGATGAGTAGACAGGAAGTGCAACAACTGGCGCCAGAATTAATCGAATAGAAACTTGGTATCAAGGAAAATAATGTTGTGAGTGTACAGGATATTCTCGAATTATAGGAAAAGCACTGCGTGTCTTAAAAGATTTTGGAATCAATATATTTGCTATAATAATCTTTTTATTGTTGCGAAGAAAAAAACGAAGATTTTATAACTTTAAATTAAATATATTTATGTACACATTTTTATAACAAAAAAACTTTATTACGCCTTCTCCTAAAGAGTAAACAGACAAAACAAACGGAAATAACTCGTTATTGACAATAACAGTGGAAGCATTATAACTTCCTTCGGATGATGACGATGACTTCAACTTCGACGTTCTTTAACGACACCAACTTGGTTTAATAAACAAAACTGATATTGCTTTGTTGTGGGTCCATTTCCTCGAGTTGTCTGCTTTTGCAATTCTCGAACACGATTCAGTCCGAGCCAAATATAGAGCTCGAAGTTATTGTCGTTCGCAAAGATAGACCGCTACTCACTGCTCACACACAAATGCATACAAGTCTTCCCACGACGAAGACGTAGATATTTTTCTTTGGATTTTATTTTTTTAAGGTGAGGGCGCGATGTGGATTAAGAGGGACACCTGAGGTTATTTACGGTACGAGTTATAAGAAGCAGGGGCATGATTTTTGGGGGGAGACCGTGACGACCATGTGTGTGTGCGCGCCTCGTTTCTTCGGGAGGGACGATGGGCGTAGGAAGTTGTCGTGTCTGCGAACATCTGGATGCTGGTCGGATCACTCTGCGCGTTGCGACATTTCGAGAGGAAAGGCAATAAGAATTGAACTGAAAGTGTTTTGTTGTGGTTGATGCAAGAGGACCAAATGTAGATTTTAATAAGTGATGAGTCATAAAAATCGATTTTAATTTTAAGACTACAGAATTTTTTTAAATAAACGCAAATGTCTACTCCAAATTTTGGAATAAACTAATAACATTACCTTAACTTTAATGTTTGTGTAAGGTTGAATTCAAAAATTCATAAATCTGATATTTAAAGATTTGAAAAAACCATCTTCAAATTAGTAAATACTAGGTAAATTTGCTTTAAATTGCTTATTAACAATATTTCAATTAGTTTTTAAGATACCGAAAGATTAATTATCCTAACAGTTATGTTTAAGGTTATGCAAGTTTGCGTTCAAAAATTGATATTCAAAATGGTGAATCTTAAATAAATTTGCTTTAAATTCCTTTTTGTTTTATAATGATTGAGATACTATTCTTTTAATATCTGTTTTTAAAGTTTTAATTGTTAAAGATATTAAAATTATTAAAGCATTTATGCCACATTAAATCTATATTATATTTGATTTAACACGTCTTTTATTTACCATACCGTCCCCTATTTTAGTTAATTATATCGAGGTTATGTTGTACTACTAAATGGTTACTGGTTGTGAGGTTAAAACAGAATCTTATTAACCATAAAGAATTGAAATGAGTCTCATCACGCGCATCCACATCGTTTAAGTCGCAAGCTCATTCTACTTACCTCATTACTCGTAAATGGACAGGCCAGTAAGTAGTTATTTCTACGATCTCCGTGCAAACTAGGTGCTCACTGATTACCAACCAAAAAACTGTGCGCAAAAAATTAATCGTTGCTAATTTACTTACCGAAGAAATTTCACACAAATTTCGTCAATTTATTTAAGGTGTTTAATTAAACTTTAAATTGGTTTTTAATCAATTTAGTGGTCAGTTAAAAACAAGCGATGATTAAAAACATGTTTATTTAAATTTCAAAAAAAGCATTGAATACATAGTAGTTAGTAAGAATTAAAAAGTACATCGTTTAATCATCAGTCCATTCAAATGGTTCTGGCGGTTCAGGTTCGTTTTCTTCAGCAACTTTCGGGCCCATAACAGAAACAGACTCAACTATTTCTTCTTCGCCAGGTTTTGTATTGCGAACCATAATAATTCCGCCAATCGAAACATCTTTCATTGGAACATATTGACAACCTTCAACGATACTAACATACTTTAATTGCCCCCTTAACGCTCTAGCCGGATTATTTAATGTCTCGGACGTTGGTTCCGGTTCTTTCTTTTTCGGTTCTTCCTTCTTCTTTTCTTCGTCCACTTTCATCTCTTCGACTTTATGATGCTGCTTTTTCTCATTATCGCGTTTACGTTGCCTTGCAACGCTACTCAAAACTACCGTCGAAATCTTTTCACGTTCCTCGCGTTTCTTCTCTTCTAATGGTGGCGGATAAGCAAACATGCTCGGCTTAACATTGGATTTGAAGTCCAATTTAGGCATCTTTAAGTCGGCGTTTAAAGCAATAACGCAGGAGGGGGTAAAAGCAAGAGATAAACAATGAGTTAATGGGAACCAATACCAATACTGGGTGAAAATATGGGTACCAACCACAGCTAACATGTTGGTGTGGCCGGTTCGAGATTGTAATGAAAGCGTTACGTTTCTTCCACCAGCATCAATGATTCCTTGGGCTAAAATAGCTCCGAATTTAGTCATGACGTCTTCGTGTTTGTTGGTGGTCAGTTCGTAGTAGTAACGTCTAAATAGCGGCACTTTAGGGCAAGTTTGTTCGTTTTGTTGGATTAAAATCATTGCCGTGGCGATCAAAGCTCCTTGACGAACGAAATTGACTGAATCGAATTTGATCATCGGTTCCAAAATGGCGATTGCTTCTCGTAAACCGGTACCAGCGCAAGCGATTCCCAAAGCCATAGCAGCTCCATAACGTACATGAGGGTTGTAGCTTTCTGCTAATAAAGAAACAACGCTCGGGCATTGTTCCGGAGTGCTAAAAAGGAGAAATCCTAACGATGTTACAGCAGCGCGACGAACGTCGTCGTTGACGTCAGAAACGGCGATATGTAAAAGCTTTCTTATAGCTTTATTTTGAGCGGTTCCACAATAAGCCATGGCAATAGTAAAAGCCCCAGCTCTTCTAAATATGGGATTTTTACTATCTAAAAGTTCATCAATTAAAGTATCAGCTTCTTCAAGTCTTCCATACATAATGAACGATATTCCCAAAGCTAATCCGCGCAGAATTTTTTCGTGTTGACTTTCCTGCGCGTACGAAACCATATCTTCAATGACCGAAGTGTTTTTTGATCCCAACATAACCAAACCCATTCCAATTCCAGCAGCCTCCCCAGTTACAGCGTCATCTTGATAAAGATTAAACTTTAATTGTTCGTAAACATCTTGACGATTAGTACCCATCGTGGCCAAACCAAGACCCAAACAACATCCGTGTCTTATAATTTCATTTTTAGCCTCCTTAAGTTGATTTAATAAGTAATCGGATATATTCGCGCCGTGATTTGCGTGGATTAACCCCAGAGCATACAACGCACCACCTTCGGAGTAACCAGAATTTGCCCCAACATCTTTAGGTAAATAACTTTGAAGGAGAGATAAAGCCTCTTGTTCGTGACCACGATGGATGACACCAAGGGATGCAACGGCGGTGAATTTAGCCCAATTTGTGGCGCGCGTTAACCATTCGAGGTTATCCCTTAAGAATTGATCACTTGTAGTACCGCTGTGCATGTAAGCGTTCGAAATGATGGTCGCAGTGTGACAAATATTAACTCTACTCGCTTCTTTAGCGTATTTTAAAACGAGCAAATCGGCGTGATTGCTACGAACAAGAAATTGAAGATGTAACTCTAAAGTTACTTTACCGGATAATATGTTGTAGAGTTGATCCAAGTTTTTTTGACGCTCTTTTTGTTCTTCAGTTAATGATTCAATGGAAGGTTTATCTTTAGTTTCCTTACTATCGGCATCACCAGCAGCGGATTCAGTTTTTTCTACTTTTTTTTCATCGGCAAAACATTGTAAAGGAGCGTTAGATCTTAAAGTGTTAAAAACTCTTTCAAGATATTGTTGTGTAGCAGATTCGTACAGATCAAAGCTAATTTGATAAGCCATTAATTTACTTTGTTCTTTCTCTTGAATTAATTTATCAAGGATTGAAGCTACAGATGCAGCATCATCCAAAAATATAAAACATTGACACATATTAACATAATCGGGAGTTTCTAACCCTTGATATAAATTAACCAGACAACGTAATACAGTATTTCTAAACTTTAAGTTTGGTATTAAATTTAATGTTACATCAAAAGCATAATTTAACATTCCAACCACATCATCGGATTGAGTAACAGCTACCTCAAAAATATCCATCCTCCTGGTCTCTAAAGCTAAACCGACAGCTTGACAATATTGGCCATCTTCGAGACATCTTTCAAACATCCTATTAACAACGCCTTCCAATCGAGGATCAATAGGTTTGGCTTTTGGGCTGTTTTCGACAAGAGCGACGCGTTGTTGAATATAAAAATCGATGCATTTTGATAAAATTGTTTCAACGTATTCTGTACGTGAATTAACATCAAATAAATTTCTTGCTCCCAAGGCATAAATAAGCGAATCATCAAACGAACCTAAATGGTAATAAACTTTACTTGCCACTAAAGCCGCTAGCTCGTGATCATCGAAGTTTTTATCTTCGTATAGGATTTCAATTTTCTCGATGACCTCAGAGATTTCCGGCCAAAACTCATCCACAACGGTGTTAAGCTTCTTCAGGGCGAAAGATTTTAATTCGACACTTTGTTCGTCGAGAAGGGATATTATCCCAGCCGCTGATGTTATATTCATCTTAAACCTTGAACTAGGTATTTAGAACTTATTGAATGAATACGATTATAACTATTCAACCTGTATTTCTACTGTGTCACGATTTTAGGGAATTTGTTACGATGGATCCATACGCGAGAGCATGCGCAGAAAAGAGGACAGCCAGAAGTTAATTTATTTTAAATAAATTATTTGATTATTTATTGTAGGATTAGCTTTATTTAAATTAAAAAGGGGTTTAGAAGAAATGTATATGTTAAATAATTCTTTTTAAATTTTATCTTTAAATATTTTTATAACTCAAGAACATCGCTTAGGATTCTTTGTGTTAAAAATTGTTTACAGTTGGTACGGCTGAGTGCTTTGTCAAGATTGTGTTTATTAAAATATTATTTTTAGATTTATGTTATTTTCTATACTTAAATGTTAAATTAAGAGTAAATTTAATAATGCTATTTATAGATTTCTTTGTAATTTTCGTTTTATATTTATATTGTTTGATTATACCAGTGCAAAATGAGTTGCATACCATCAAAAAAATGAAATAACATTTTTATAAATTAATAGAATTTAAAAATTAAAACTACTTAAAATTTATTAGGATCATTGATTATAATCAATTTACTAAAAATCTCATGTCAGTATAATCTGAAATGCACCTATTTTGGCTTTAAAAGTATTTTTTAATAAATAACTTTGATGTCATATTGAAAGAAAACCGTTAAATGAGGTAGTTTGTTTCAAGTTTGATTTAATTAAGCTACCATATTTTATTTGTTATGTGTTCTATATAGTTTCGTGGAAAGTCGTAGTTTTCCAAAACGAAAAAGTGCTTAAGAGTTTTCAACGCCCATAATTCATAATTTAATCGAAAATATTTAAAAATACCAACAATAATTTGTTATAATAATTTATAATAGAAGTAATATTTACAAACTAGGTTTCAAACTAACCTGTTACCTTACTAAATGGTTTTCTTAACTATTAAAATTTATTTCAATTGATTATTCCACATATCGAGAAAGCGATAATCATCGATAAATTGCAATTTCACATAAATAACTCATCTAACTGATACGGAAATGCGTAAATAACTGGGTTAATACCATCGTAGACAGTTATTTTAATTTTATAGTCTGCTATATTAGGTACACTTTCTTCCATAAAAAATCTACCTTATATGAAAAATTAAAAAAAGCTGAAAATACAAAATCTGTTAGAGATAATGTAATAAAGGCATTTAGTAATATGCCCCATACCTTATTAACCCGATTTTATTATCTCGAAATAATGTTTTATATTCACCGTTATATATGAGAGGGTTTATAACGAGAATATCCGTTACTGTATCGTATTAATTAATTTTAACATTACAGGTGTTATGTATGTAAATTTATTGTGGGAGAATTGATTCCCAAATTTATGGGGATATGCGATAAGTAGATATTGTATAATGATTTGATTGAATACTTTTATTACCTAATGAATTATAATCTAATATAATCTGTCTATTCTATAAATACAAATTTATAACAGAGGTGTAAAATCCGTTACGTTACATAACAAATTTTGTGATATGCAGGGCAAATATACCGTATTTTCTCGAATCTTATCCGCATTCGAATCTAATCCGCACCCCGATTTTAAAAATGCATAATAGTAAAAAAATTTAGTTTGCGAATGTAATCCGCATCTTTCTTTGAGCAATTCGACAACACCAAAACGATGCGATGCTTGTTGTTAACCATAAATATATATTTTTTCCGTTGATTGACGCTGATGTACCTAAAGAAACCTTGCTTACGATGCTTACGTTTTTATTAGACTAGACTTTAAATTTACCTAGCCAAAAAAAATTGGAAAATAAATAAGTATAATTTTAAAAATAAATAGTAATGCCTAGCACAAATGCCGTTCATATACTGCCCTCGTAGTAATTACACATATAATAGCGTAATTATAAAAAAAGTTGTAAAAATCTAAAAGGGTCTTCTATACAGCAAAGTTTAAAAATATGTTATTAAGTTAGCGTTAAGGAAATCGAAAAGCTGGTATAATTTTTGCTATTAATGAGAGTAACGTTGCGGCTGTTGCGGAAAGACAAGGTAGCTATTGCAGATTGAGGCATCGTGCAAAAAATTTCGGGCCAAAGAAGAGATGATTGCATGAAATTGACGAGGCAGTTTTCTAGTTCTCTCAACAAAACGAAAAATTTTTTGGTGTTATCGTTGAGGCGCAGAACTACAATTTCCCAAAAGCTCCTAATGATTCAATTTGTCTCAAACTGTAAATGTCAATGAAATGGTAGTATATCTGGATATGCCACCCAATTACACACTGGAAAGAAGAGGTGTGTGGGAAATTTCTTTATAAACGAGTGGTTGCGAAAAATTGCGCATAACATTGATACTAGCAGTAACAAGTGATAGGAAAAAATTGCTGTCATTATTAATATTGAGAAAAAAAACATTCTGAAATCTGAAAGACTTCCTGAATGACGTCCTAGTTAGGGCAGAACAAAAAGGATGGATAATGGAAAAGCTGATGATTGAATGGTTAAGACAAGTATGGAGTCGTAGACCAGGAGGATTATTAAATAAGGATATTAATTAATCATAGACTGATTGCCCTTGGTTTACACTTCTTGTCATAATAATAATACCTGCTGGAATAACATCTATACTACAACCTGTGTATGTATATTAACAAACTCGAGAATAAACAAAACCGGGAGCAATTAAACGAGCTCTTCTCTTCGAACTTGTTCAGTGAGTGTAGGCGACATGGAAAACGATCCCTGAAAACAATATTATAACATCATTTAAGAAGTTTTGTATAATCCGATTTGATCTGTATTGATCCGAAGATGACGTAATATGGGAAGAAAATGATACATAAAAATGTAAATATCGTTCTAAAACCCTTAATAAAGTGTTATTGTTATAATATGATTTTATTTTACTATTTTCCAAATTGCAACTATACGACTGCGAATCTAATCCGCACCCGATTGTAATCCGCATTTGATTTTAGAGCACATAAAATTTGTAAAAAAGGTGCGGATTACATTCGAGAAAATACGGTACTTCAAACTATAATAGGGCAAACGTCTCCAAATGTACGTATATTAAGAACTAATATTCCCGACCAGCGCAACAGTCACAAATTTGAGTATGAAAACTTAAAAAGCCAAGCTTGCCTTTGCAGAATTCAACCTTAAAATTAAATACAAAGGTACATAGAAAACTAAAAAGACACCTTACAAATCATATCTTACGTGTTATGCCAATGTCATGTGCTTTTAAATTTCGATGACACGACATAATAGAAATCAACCCCCTCTCCTACTTATCGCAATAAATGGTTCGAATTATAATTTATTATTAGTAACATTTTCATCGCTTCGCAAACATTTCTTCCTTTTTTAATACGAATAAAATTACTAAATTACTCACATACTAAAGTTAAATGAAAAAAAAAGAAATTTTGATAAGGTGTGAATGTTAATATTACAGTGAAACCAGCATAGATAACGTACAAAATATCGTTTGTTTTGCGAAAGTAAAATATCGCTGAAGTAGATAGCGAGCCTACTATTCCTATATAATTATTATGTTTTACTTTCGCGAAATATCTTCAATTAAGTATTCCAGTATGAATAATAATCTCCCATAAATCATTGTATAAGAACGAACTGTCTTTATTAATGAAGAAAAATCATAGTGATGGGAAAAAATTTCTTGAAATTTAGAATTATTGCTTGTAAGAACTACAACATAAGACCAAACATAATAATAAAACTAAAAGTTGTATATTAAAAAAGCATGTAGTACACACCAACAATCCTAACGAATCAAAACAGTGTCCAGTTCTTTCGCCTACTCTTTGCGACGAGTGAGAGTAGAGAGAAGTTGAAGCGCGTGCTTTAAAACAACTCTTTAACTTCGCCCAGAAGCAAACGAGCGGTCGCACGTGCGCCTGTTATTCTCGTACTAGTCCTCAGAGTTGAATCCATGCTCTAATTATCTTTAACAATACTACGGGTATACAATTTGCGACGCCGTATGAACTTTTATGCACAAACCTACGCTACCATTTGAAAAAGACACAAGTTTCATTCAGTGAAGACAACCAATTACGACATCCTTCTCATTTGATTTCTTCATACACAAAAAGATGCATGTTAACCAGTGGATGTTATTTGTTGTAGCATTGAGTTTGGCCGATGTTATTAATGGGATCATTCCTGAAGATAGTGGAAGTATTTTGGATATTGGTGAGTTTTGTTTCATTATTTAATTTTATTTGTTGAACATAGAATTTTGTAAATGTTAATGGTAATTTTTGTTGGTCGACGTCTTCCGAGTAATTAAAAAGATAAAACGAGAGATCTATTGTTCTTGGATAATTTTTCCGTTGAGTCTTTCTTTTTTCTTTCGTGTAATGCTTGTTGGGTTCGTGTAATCTGTTTATCTCCGTTGAAGAGAGTTTAAGATGTTTCTTGAAATGGTGCTTTCTTCCGGTAAAGAAATTAAATCGTTGGGGACAGTTAGGTTCCAGATAATTTAAAAGAGAAATGTAACTGTTACAGTAATAAAGTATATAAAGTTTCATATGTAATCAATTTTATCGCAACTTTAAATTTCATGTCCTTTTTTTTATTAAAAACACGTTTTGTGCATTTTATTTTGACATTAAAATTATATTTTGTAATAAGTGTAGAAAATTGAAAATTTTTAGACTTTAATTAAGATTTGAAAATTTCAAATTATTTTTCTTATTAGTCAATTTAACAATAATATATTACGGAACTCAATAAAGGAAGTGTCTCCTTCACCTGTCAAAAAGTTTCGAAACGTCACGCTCCGCGAAATCGCAATTCATCACATCTTTGAGCTATAATTGCAAAAGAACAGTTTTAATAATGATGGCATTGGAGATAACCGCAAGATAACGACGGATTAAACATCTAATTTGAAGGCATTGTTTCAAAATATTCGCTGTGAAACTTAATAAAATAAAGCTTCTGAATTTTTAATCTTTTTAATTCTAACATGTTACCTTCGAATAAAAAATAGATAAAAATGATGATAATTTGATTTAAATTACGATGTTATTTGTATAAAACAAGTTGAATCACGTTTTTGCAATTAAAATACTTTTCCCATTGACAATAAAAGATTATTTTCTAAAGAATTTTCTATAGGATGTCACGAATTTCATTTTGTTACGCCCTGAAGCATGTAAAAAAAATAAAAGTAGGAAGAACTGAAAGGATTTTTTTGATCGTCTCTAGATTTATAATTGGAATTTCATTTGGAATGAATAAATTCTAGTCAGAGTAGTTGCCAAATTTTAGACAACAACTTTCAATTCGAGAAAGTTAAAGATGTTATTTAGCAAAAATTTTCACAATTACTCAAGTAAATATATTGTTAAATGTATCTTACTGCTTTCCAGTCAATTCTATGGTAATTATCCTTATGGTTTAGTCATGCTTTGAGGTCACAAAATAAACGTACATAAAATGTACCATCATCGCCAATGACTTTGTAACATTCAACTTCTCCTTATTGTTCCTTCGAAAAAGCTTTCTTCTTGCGCGATTTCCGATGATGTCGTTTCCGTCTGTCAGCATGTGCGCAATAACGATCATTGTGTTTTTATGCCATTTGCATGTTCAATTCTTGTCGTTACCCAACAAAAAACACGTTCCTATTGTTCGTTTTGTTGTGAATAGATCAGTAATTACGAAAATTAGTTTAAATTTATATCAAATACATCTCCTCTATCATATCATTCATTCAATAATTTTATTATACCTATTTATAGATATTCCGTCAAGACAAAACGATAAATTTTCAAATCCACCATATCCATACGTTGCAAGCACAGGTGGAAATAACATAGGAAACGAATATTCAGAAGAACGACTCCCCTCGGATCCTATGCGAAGGTGTTCTGAACGATTAGATAATGCACTTCAAGAGATGAGACGTAGACAACAAGCCAAACAAAAATCTTTACATCTAAGCGGATACACATTACACCAACAATTACGCTCGATACCTTACGAAATGTACGTAACCGATATGAGAGTACGATTACCGTCATCAACCAGTTGGGTTCGTGTTGATCGATGTTTCTTCGATCCTGTAAACACCTCGTTAGACACACGATTACTCTTTAGCGATTTAAGCATAATTGGAAAAGTTAACTTATTTGGAGATGGGGAATTATTGGAAAAGGAGCCTGATCAACCAGACTCGGAAGGAAGTTGTAACATGATTTTGAGATTAAGAAGAGCCGGAATCGGGTAATTTACTGAATTCGTATTTTTTTTTAAATAGTAATGCTTCACTTTATTGTAAACGGTTGTTATTTTATGGTTTAAGTGTATTACCTTTAATTTCTTTTTAATGTATATTATAAGATCGGTATAGATTTCCATACCTATCGCTTTTTGTTTTGTTGTATCTCAAAAGCTTCGCCGAAAAGATGGCGACATTTCATGAATTTAGATATTTTATTTAGAAAAATAGTGAAAAGTCCTCGAACTGCCGCCAATTTGCTAACCTTCACGTTGCTCATCCATAATGCGTCTCTTGTCGAATCTTACAATTAGACAAATATAAACATATAACTAATTATACTGAAAAAAACGATTTTCTTCCAACATTTAATATCTTTATTTTCTTTAAGATGATGATCAATATCAATTTAGGTTTTAAATTAATTAGGTTATCAATTTTTTCGAAGATTAAAACTACTATTATCATTCTTTTACTTTCAGATTTCACACTGAACCGATTCGACGCGAAAGAGGTCATTTTAACGTTCGAACTGATTCGCATTTTTTAGAACCGGGTTTTATAAGTGTTTATGCTTATGGTTGCGAGTCACATTTTCGTGAGCACAGAAGAAGTTTTTCGGAAGCCAATTATGAGGATGAAGAGATTGCTAGGGAAATGGAAGATATTTTTATAAAAGGTATTAGGTCTTTACTCACTTCGTACATGCAAAGAGAATTACAACCAGCTATAAAAGAAACTTTAATGACTAGTATGGGTTATACGGTATCTTACGGATAAATAATTACCTGTATATAGATGTAAATATGTTATAGAATTTAATAAAGTATTTAGTAACACTTCAGTTCTTTTCATACCATTTAATCTATATTTTAAAGTAGAACGCAATAAAATAATGTTAACAACTTGAAACTTAGACTAATTATATTCTTCGAGATATTGACAAACAAACTCATATGTACTAAAATGTAGGGCAGTTGTAAAAACCGCTTTTAAAAGACTTGGGGTAAGTCCTTTAAATAAACCGTTAAACCCTTCCTGTTTGATTGTTTTCTCAAAAGCGTCCATCATTCCATTATAACTGTACCCCTTTCCAAAATTTCTTCTATACCTTTGGAAACCTTGCACTTGCATTCTTTTCCTTACAAAATCAAATGGATAAATAGCAAGTTTCGCACAAAATCCAGAAAGACTTCCAGCAATTAAGCAACTTGTTGCCGAATACCTAGTTTCCTCTATTCCAACTACTTTTTTATAAGCTCTATCAAAAAGTTTATAAAACATAAATTGAGATCCAGCGTGAGGTGCTACTTGTACAATGGTTGGGGTTAATCCTCTAAAATATGCTTTAAAATTTTCATTTTTATAAATGTGGACAAATGCGTGAATAATGCTTCTATACGCCCTTAATTTATCACATTGTCCAATTAATCGAGTTCTAATTACATCAAAAGGAAATGATACCACGGTAGCAACACCTCCTATTAAAGAAAGAATAAATAAATGATGTATATTTATTGTGTACATAATGTTATTGTTACCTGCAATCGATCCTCCAATAAAGTTTTTAACAGGTTTAAACTGTTGATGAAATAAAGGACCAAAAGATTTCATAAAAAGTTCGTAGGTTCCAAACTGAGCACATCCATACACAATCGACAATAACTGTGCTGGTATGTGTCCCTTCCAAAACGCTTTAACACCTTCTTCATTGTAAATTAATATTACAGCTTGGGTAACAGATTTATACTTGGATATTGAATGGTAACATATTGGTTCAGCTTGCAATTGAAATCTGATCTTTACTACGTCCAATGGTTGGCAAACAGCTCGAGTCACTGCTCCACTGGTTGCACCGGCAATCACAAAATGTACTTGATTTAATTTAGAGTTATTTCGTCGTTCACCCAACATTTCAAACAGGTATTTTCAAATTGTTTTTAAATTTTTTTATAACATCATTGTTATATTGTGATTGCGTAATATGGCAAATTTTTGCTCCATTAAAATTGAAATTATTTAACATGTTTAAATACCATTATTAATTATCATATTTTAATTTTTTTTTATGAAATTGATTTATTATGAACTGATGATTTGCGCGGATGAAAAAACGAAATGACATTTTAAAAATTTTAATGACATTTCTGATTTCAATGTAACCTTAACAACATAAAAATCACCAATGCGGCAAAATAACCAAATTTTTAAACTTCTTTTATTAACTAACAATAAATCTTTTATCGCTTAATAATATTTTAATATACCACAATTAAATAAAACGGTCATATTTTTTTATAATATTAAAAATAAATAAAAAACTTTTACACACGAAAATTCCTAAAGCAACAGTGAGCAACAGTAAACATAACCTATTTCAGAAGCAATTATCTTCTTGCAACCTTATAAAAATATTATAAGTACACTTCGAAATAAAATAATGGTTTGCGAAGATACTTTGCGTATAAAACACCTTCCGCCGGAATTATCTCATTCGGAAAAAGAAGATTTGTTAAGACATTTTGGTGCGCAAAAGGTAAAAATAGTAACAACGACAGCAAAGCACAAATCAGTAGCCTTCGCACAATTTGAATCCAAAGAAATAGCAAAATCTGTTTTAATTCGTTTACATCAGATAAAAATATTTAATTCAAGATTATGTGTCGAATTTGCTGAAAATGATATTGGCCCAAGTAAACCACGATTGAAAAACGTAAGTGAAAATAAAAATGAGAAAACGAACTTTAAGAACTTTGTTAATAAACTGAACTCCTTTAATAGTTTCGTTTCGTTTAATCAACCTCCTCCTAGTCATTTACGCTATGCTTATCCGAAACCTAATCGTGCAACAATAAACAATATTGCACACGCTTTGGCATCTGTTCCAAAATTTTATACTCAAGTCTTACATTTGATGAATCGTATGAATTTACCGCCCCCTTTTTCCGATATTCCCGATCCTCCGCATGCATCGTTAAGACAACCAATACAGACGAAACCACCTCCACCACCTTTACCACCAAAACATGAATCTTCTTCCGAATCTGAGTTAGAAAGTGACCCAGAAAACAATACGATTAAAGAAATAATACCAGAAAAAAGAACGCTACCGCAAAAGAAGCAAGTCAAACGACCCAAATTTATCAAACCTAATCCACCAAACATTTCTCAAAAACAAAGTGAAAAAGTTGAAGATATTTTTGAGAAAACACAACTTCATCAAAGAAAAATAGAACTCAAAGTTTCCACAATTAATTTAGAAGATATTCGAAAAGAACAATCTACAGATACGATCGACACCAACTCCAATAATGACCAAGCAGCAAATGTATCAGAGAACCGCGAAAACGACGTTATAACTGAAGAAGAACTCTCATCAAATCAAATCCCTTTGAAAGATTTGAATGTATTTCCTGTTTTTAAAGATTACCACCCAGGAGCTGCAACAAATCGACTTTACATTAAAAATATCGCAAAATCTGTTGAAACCAAAGACCTTGAATATATTTATAAAAGATATGTTGACTACGAAAATAATGAATCTAATAAAGAAATTAATATTCGTTTGATGCAAGAAGGAAGAATGAAAGGTCAAGCTTTTGTTACTTTAGGAAGTGTTCAATTAGCTCAACTAGCTGTTAAAGAAACTAATGGATTTCTACTAAAAGATAAACCTTTAGTTGTTGTATTTGCTAAAAGTGTTACTCAAAAAAAATGACGATTTTAATAAATATATTGATGTGTGAATTTTTGAAGACCTTTTTTTGACCTCAACTCCTAAATAATTATGTTGTCAATTATAGGAATAAAAATGAAAAAATCAAATTAAATTTATTGTAGCCCAAATATTAAATACTTTCAGGATTTATTAATAAACAAAAACGAAATTACAAACATAATTATTTAAAAAATTCATTTCATACAAAAAAAAAAATGGAAAACTTTAAGCTACTTTGACCAACCACTTTTCCAATTCATCAACATTTATAGAATCTTTAGTTTCATTGGTAGCAAAACCATTCGCAAATTCTATTTGAATAGGTGATAATAAAGAAAAGTGAAAATCTTCTCCTTCTGATAAGAAACTGTCACCTTTTTTTACTTTTGGATCAACAGAATCTAATTGACTTGATTTAGTGCGTTGTAAAGTAGTCCTAAAAAATGATAATATTAAAAGTCATAATAAACATAATTTTATCACTAACAATTCTTTTTCTAATATACATTTGACAGCCATACTATTCTTTGATGACGCTACGTCTTGTTTATTGCACAAAATCAATACTTTCACTTTATTATTCATTGCCCCAAGTTCCAATAAAATGTTGTACAAATATTCAGCAACGTCACGAACTTCCTTTTCAATCAGACTTGAATCGACTACATAAACCAAAGCTCTAGCTTCTTTCTTGTATTTTTCAAAAAATTTGTCTCTAACCCTCTCATGTCCAGGAATATCAACAATACGTAAGGATAAATTATTGATTAAATAATTACCGGTGTTCTCTTTCATGGATGTATAGGTATCCACAAATTTCTGATGAACCAACCTTGTAAATAATAGAGTTTTACCTGAATTGCATAAGCCTGTTATTAAAACAGTCCTTTTAGATGATTGTTTGGCTTTGTAAATGAAGAATAAAACTAAAAAAAATATTTTTAATAATTCTATATTTTGATATGACATCTGGTAAACTTACCAATAGTTATTAACAACGTTATTAGGGCTACTATTATAGGAGAATATGAAATTGTCTCTTTTGATTCATTTGTATGCTCGTTTTCCATTTTAAAATAGTTTTAAATGTTGTAAATATCGAAAATTCATACACAACCTCACTTTCTGCAACACGATAAATAATGAATATACACACAAATGTCAAACAATTTGAAAGCAGTTTGTGTTATATTGGTTGCATAGCACCTATTTTTAATATTAATCAATATTAATTTTTGGTATTATATACATAAACTATGTATATACTGTTCAAAAATTAGTAAACTACTTCATACAAATAACTAATTTTCATAGTCTATTCAATTATATAGTTATTAAAATAAATAAAATTATCTTGTTCATATTCTTGTCAACTCTCCACTTTGCAGGTTATGTCTCTGTACAAAATGTTTTAATATTATTGAAAATATTAAGCATTATCTACTATTAAGCATATAATATTTAAATATCTAAAACAAAGTTAATATGTATAAAAAGGATTGTTGTATAAATAAATATGACACTTTACATAACCTAACATAACCTTGTAGGAATATCTTAAAAAAATCACTTTCAAAAATGAGTTTCAATTTGACCTAATAAATTAAAAAAGATAACATTGTCTATTTGGTTGCCTGTTGTTCTAAATTTTACGTTCTATCTGTCGCTTTGCGTATTATGTACGTAATAATAGTTAAGAAACTGTTTAGTCAATTTTCAAGGACGTCATTAGGACATAGAAAGTTTTTTAAAGGTGCATTTCTTTTGTAGTATACTTTTAAAAATAATTTGCTTAATATATAATGGCTAATCTCGGCGGTAATTTCTCTTTATAATACATTTATTTAATTGTTGTAATTAATTATTCTTTTTTAGATATGAGGACGTGTTATAACAATAGAACAAATTTATTGATTGAGGATGAGCTACCATTTAAGTGTCCCTATGCAATTTTTGAAAAATGGTTAACTGAAGCTAAAGAGGACAAGAGAATAATTGAACCAAATTCTATGTGTGTAGCAACGGCTACAAAGTAAGAAACCAAATTATCATACTAAATATTTTGATGAATTATTGTTGTATATTTTGTTTTAAAATTATTATAGAAGTGGAATTCCTTCCGCCCGTTACATTTTATGTAAAGGTTACGATAAAACGGGGTTTATATTCTTTACACATTACACCAGTAGAAAGGGGCAGGAATTGGAAGAAAATCCAAACGCAGCTTTAACATTTTACTGGCCTCCGATTCATAGATCAGCAAGTGTTTATCAAAGTTTAAATTAATATAAAATTATAAAGAGATATTTTTTAAATTTTAGATAAGAGTCGAGGGAAAAGTGGAGAAACTTTCTTCAGAAATTGCAGATGAATATTTTAAAACACGACCTTATGACAGTCAGATCGGAGCACTTTGCAGCGATCAAAGCAAACCTATCGAAGGTAGACATGTTTTATTTGAACGAGAGATTGAGCTTAAGCAAAAATATGGAGAAGGCCAAGTTCCAAGACCAGAACAATGGTTAATTAAAGATATATCTAAGATCATTAACACATAAAAGGATTATTTTATTTCTTTTATAGGGGTGGATATAAAGTGATTCCAAAATGTATAGAATTTTGGCAAGGACAAAGCGATAGAATTCATGATAGAATTAGATTTAGAAAAGTTACTTGTGATAACGAGTTGGATGGTAAAGTATTACATAAAGGAGCAGACGATTGGTTTTATGAACGATTAGCACCTTGAATATGAAGAATTTCTATGGCTATAACAGTATTCGGATTCTTTTGTTTATTACCAATTCTTATGGTAATCTAGTGCAATAAATAGTTGAAATATTATTAGTAGAAAATACATCACATTTACATGTTTGAGATTTTAGAGAAATTGTTATTGAAATAAAATAATTGGTATCTAATGAAAATTAAGACTTATATTTATTTTTTTAAATGACAAAATTGATTTTATTGATGTTGTCAAATTAAATTTAAATAAGAAATTAGTTGTGGAAAATGTAAACGCAGCGTTGTAAAAATAGGTTGTAACCAAAATGATTTCTTCACAATTTGGATATGCTCTTATATCGAAACCAATGTTTAGCAAAACATTTTTACGGAATTTTATGGTTGCCATTAAAAGATGCGATAAAGATATGGATAAAGATAATCCCAAGTTTACACTTTCTGGTTTGTACAGTTATGAATATAGAGTACCGATTATGTATATATATTTTTTTAATTTGGTTAGATTTAAAAGAAATGTTCGAAATTCAAAAACAGTACACTCTGGAAGAATCGCCAATAAAAGATCCACTTTTTATATTCCAGTCGTGGTACCGGGACGCTGCTGATTCTGTTGGTGTTTTAAATCCATCTATCATGTGTCTTGCTACTAGTTCCAAGTACAAACAAAACAAAAGTATTCGTCAATTTTGGTATGTAATATTTTCTTTTTTCTTGCTACAGAACGGGAATTCCATCTTTAAGATACATGTTCTGTGAATCATTCGATACAAAAGGATTTAGATTTTTTACTTATAACACGACAAGAAAAGGTCAAGATTTGGTAAGAAAACACATTAACCAATTTATATTGATAATAATGCAAATTAAATTTCAATATTTACTCATTACTTTTTTTGCTACTTTTTAGAAAACAAATCCTTATGCATCGTTATGTTTTTATTGGGCTCCTTTATTAAGATCTGTACGTGTAGAAGGACCGGTAAATGTTCTTCCATCTTCAGAATCGGACGAATTATTTAATCGTCGTGCTTATGATATGCAAGTCAACATACATTGTTCAACTCAATCGGACAGGATACAATCATTTGACGTCTTAAACGAAAGAGAATTAATTGTTAGAAATAAATTTGATCCATCTAAAGTTCCAAGACCGGAAAATTTGTACTGGAAATACATTTTTATTTAATTTATAAATTTAATTTAAATTTATTGTAGTTGTTGGTATAATGTAAGTCCAATTATTTACGATTTTTGGCAATTGAGGCAAAAAAAGGAACGAATTCGTTTTAGAAAATCAAAACCGGATGAGAAAATTGATGGGTTAACTCGTAAAGGCGAAAAGGATTGGTTGTATGAATTTATCGAACCTTAAAAATTTGTTACCTTTAAATATGTATATTCATTATTTGTATTTTTGTTTCAATATATTGCTTAGATTTATATATATTATAAATTCATCATCTTTATCTTAATTTTAAATAAATATAAGAGTTACTCTTCTATTATAATTAACATCGTAACTATCGGTTTCAGATCTAACACAAATCTCTGCTCTTTTATATCCACTTTGAAAAATATCGCTGCTACTATCTCGAACTTCAAATCGTATTCTATGTCCTAAATGATTGTTTAACTCTGGAATACATACTGAAGTTCCATACGGAATTTTTAGATTTTCGTCCATTGATAAGGTGACGTAGTTTGTTCTATCATCTACGTAATCCTAATATATAATAAAAAAACATTACTTCGGTATATTATATTACCAAAAACATAAAATAATATACCTGTAATGTACACAAAGGATTTCCTTTAACATCTGTAAAACCATCATCATGTTCTTCGCTGCTATAATTGGGAAAATACGTTGTTAGAGTAACGTTGTCGAATCGTACTCCAAAGCATTTCAAGTTTATTTCTTAAAAAAATTAAGTTAAGGTTTTAAAATACAAGAGATATATACTTTACCATTATCAAAAAGGGTATGGGAATAATTGAATTGATTAAAATAAATTAATAAAACAGAATACAAAAATCTTCGGTACAAAAATTCAATGGTATGCATGATTGTTGGTGTAATGGTGCAAATAAATGTGGCTGAATAGTAAAAGTATAATAGCTGAATATGCATTAAAAGAAAACAAAAAATGTTTGCAATTTTTTCTAAATAAGTTAAAAAAAATCCATATTAAGGTTACAGTCAATAATAATTTTGTAACTTTACGTCGTTTTCTTTTTATTTATTTATTTATTTTCTTCTTATTTATTGTACAAGCTGGTCAAATTCCATGTCCGAATAAGCTATCTCGGAAACTATAAAAGTTAGAAAAAAAGTACCTTACATGTCTCTATCTCTTTTTTTAAATAAATTTCAATGTCGAAAACCTCAAAGCGCTATCGTTTTTTGTTTTTCTCCTAGAATCCAAAATTGAAAATATCCTAAAACCGGCAAGTGCAATTATCTTGGTTATTATTATAGGTAAAGTATTATAACTACGATATTATATGGACACTTTTCTACAGAGAATTTGATGACGTAAAAATTCTTTTGTCGTCTTTTTAAATGGAAATAACCACTGATTATTCGCTTATTAAATTCGTTATTTTTTTTCTGATTACAAAAGTATAGGGTGCGACAGGTTTATTTCTTATTGTCTTAGAATAAATCTAAAAATAAAACTTAATAAAATTAAAACTATTTTAAAGGAGTGTCCAGACATTGCGCAGCAGTCAAGCGTGGCAGCAGCACGCGGCGTGCCGCGCGATGTCTGAACGACGACGCGCGGTCGTGTCTCAGCTGTTGCTAAGGGCCGATCTACATCAGACGAGCGAATGCTCATTCTATCCCTACTTTATCATATTCTTTTTGTGTAAACAGATGTAGAGCATTCTTTCGTTGTTTTGTCTGCGTTTCCAAAGATTCTATGGAATATACTAGGAATGTGCGATCGCTTGATGTAAAGGACACTAGAGCGTGCTAACCATTGCTTAGAGACTTCTTGCGTGTTCGGACGTGCTCGCTCATCGGAGCGGTCTCTTCAAAGCGTTGTTGTGTTCTAACGGTGTTCTAGTCGAATGAGCATTCGTTCGGCTGATCTAAATATCCATGTGCAAGAATTCTAATTCTTGGTTCTCATTTTTGCTCCTTTATATTTTGGTGTAGTGTAAACCATAAAAATGCGCTTTCGTTTCCACTAAAAGATCAAGAAAGAATGCTCTTGTTCTATACTCTGTTTTTAAACCAGGAGGAGTAAACGCGAAAGTCAGATTTACACTAGGAAAAATCACCAGAAAACATTACTAGATATTTTGGCGGTAAATTTAAATTAATAATTATTATTATTTATTTATTTACTTATTATTGTATTTATTTTCGTTTGTCATGGTCAACACTAAACATACAAATTAACATTAAGGTTATGAGTGTATTAATTGAAGACGCAAAAGAGTTTAAACAAAATTTACAACAATGACGCGAAACTGTCGAATTGTCAATAACCTAACCTTCAAATTCAAAATTAAAATTCAAAATTGCCTGTGTGTGAACCTTCCTCGCATTCAACCAATCACGTGCAAGGTCAATCTGGTGACAAATTTAAAATAGTCCTCCTGGTTTAAAAACAGAGTATAGCTCTAGCTCTTTGTTCGTTTGGTTTAAACGCACCTTAACGAACATTTGCACTAAACATTCGTGGGTAATCGTGTGTGGACGTGTTGCCGTATACAAAAAATGGATAACGAAACATCGTTGGGTTCGCGGTTGGGTTGGGTTCGCGGTTGGGTTGGGTTCGCGGTTGGGTT